CTTGGTCACCCCTCCCTGCCTCGTCTTCGAGGTATGGCCTCCCATACCCTTGTCTTTGGTCTCCCCCGGTCCCTCCCTCCCCTTCCTCCGGGGCCTGCCCCTACCTGTGTTCGTTGTGTCGAGGGCCGGCAGCGCGCCGCTCCTCACTCCTCCGAGTTCCCTCCGACAGAGGCTCCCCTGCAGACTCTTCACATGGACGTGTGGGGCCCAGCCCGCGTCCGTGGACAGGGTCACGAGCGTTACTTCCTGCTGGTCGTTGACGACTACTCGCGTTACACCACAGTCTTCCCCTTGCGCCGCAAGGGTGAGGTCAGTGAGGTGTTGATCGTCTGGATCCGCAGTACCCGTCGCCAGCTCAGCGAGCGTTTTGGCTCGGACCTTCCTGTTTTGCATCTGCACTCAGACAAAGGTGGTGAGTTTTCCTCCGACCTTCTGAGGGCCTTCTGTCGTGCGAAGGGCATCCGCCAGACGTTCACGCTTCCGGCCTCCCCACAGCAAAATGGGATTGCTGAGCGCCGCATTGGCATGGTCATGGACGTCGCTCGTACGTCCATGATCCATGCGGCTGCTCCCCATTTTCTGTGGCCGTTCGCGGTTCAGTACGCTGCGCATCAGATCAACCTTCAGCCTCGTGTCTCCTTGCCGGAGACCACACCTACTCCGCGGTGGACGGGGAAGGTTGGCGATGCGTCTGTATTCCGTGTCTGGGGATCTGGAGCTTTCGTCCGTGATGCTTCCGCGGACAAGCTGTCCTCCCGTGCCGTTCCCTGCAACTTCCTTGGCTTCCCCCCTGACGCACCTGGGTGGCAGTTTTACCACCCCACCTCGCGTCGTGTTCTGTCCTCTCAGGACGTCACGTTTGACGAGTCGGTATCTTACTACCGTCTCTTTCCCTACCGCACTGCCTCTCTCCCCCCCCCCGCCACTCTTCCTAGCACCAGGTGCTCCTCCCGTAGACCCCCTCCCCCCTCAGGGTCCTGCCCCCTCAGGTGTGTCCCAGGTAGACCCTGTCGAGCCTGTCGAGGTAGCTGTCGACTCAGGTGCTGCTAGGGGTGCTGAGCCTGCGGGTGCGGGGACTGGGGGTGCTGGGCCTGGGGTTGCTGTGTCTGAGGGTGCGGAGCCTGGGGGTGTTGAGCCTAAGCATGTGGAGCCTGGGGGTGCTGAGCCTGGGGGTGCTGAGTCTAGGGGTGCTGAGCCTGAGCGTGCTGCGTCTAGAGGTCCTCCGGGTGTCCCGTCACGGCGGGCGCCCCTCTCTCCGCAGCGGCTACGTGAGTGGTAGCTCGGCGCTGTAGCCGTGCTGCTGGAGGTGCTTCTCGAGCTGGAGCTGCTGGAGGTGCTTCTGGAGCTAGAGCTGCTGGAGGTGCTGCTGGTGCTAGAGCTGCTGGAGCCGCTGGTCCTGGAGGTGCTGGTGCTGGAGGTACTGGCGCTGTTGGAGGTCCTACTGGTGTTGGGGCTGCTGGAGGTGCTGTAGTAGCTGGTCCCGGAGGTGCTCATACAGGAGGTACTGGAGCTGCTGGGGCTGGTGGTGCTGCAGGAGTTGGAGCTGTCGGTGCTACTGGAGCTGGAGGTGTTGGAGGTACTGGAGCTGTTGCTACTGGAGGTGCTGCTGGAGCTGGAGCTGTTGGAGGTACTGGAGCTGGTGGTGCTACGGGAGTTGTAGCTGGAGACCCTGGAGCTGAGGGTACTGGTGCTGTCTCTGGTGTTTCTGGAGGCGCTGCGCGGCCGCGGCCGTACTACGTTCCGCTCCTTCAGCAGGTTCTTGGTCTCCCGCCTTCTTCTGGTCCTATCCTCCCTTACTGAGTCCACCGCCTGTCCAGTCACAGTCGCAGTTACAGCCAGCCTCTCCACTGCCTGGTCCTTCTCCTTACTCTGGACCAACTACAGGTCTTACGGAGCGTCGTGAGCCTGAGTCTCGTCCTGCGTTGCCTGATTCTCGTCCTGCGTCACCTGAGTCTCGTCCTGAGTCGCCTGTTCGCACTGTTCGCACTGGTCGACGTGTTCTGCGTCAGCATCCTCCTCCTGTCCCTGGCACTCACTCTATGACTCTGCGTCCTTCCACTTCTCCACAGCGTGTCCCTCTGCCGTCTCCTCCTGCTTCCTCTCTTCCTGCCAGTCCGGACCCAGAGTCTGACTCTCTTCGTGCTGCTAGTTGTACTGTCACACGTTTTCTAGCCACTGCTGTCACTGACCCTTCGTTTGAGTCCACTGCTGCGTCTGCTCTAGTTGCTGAGCTTGTTGACTTTGCTGCCACCTGTCGTCTAGACTACGCCACTAGTCTTGTTGCTGAGTCTGAGTCTGTGTCTGTCTGTCCTCCGTCTGTCAGAGGTGAGTGTGCTCTTGGCACGGACGTCCTTGAGGACAGACAGGAGGAGTTTGAGTGCTTTGCCGCTGCTTTACCCCATCTCGTGTCCATGCTGCTTGCCCCTGAGGGAGACCCGGATGCACCAGATATCCCGACCCCGCGGTCTTACGCAGAGTCGATAGAGGGTCCCTACTCCTCTCAGTGGCAGGCAGCCATGGATGCCGAGATGGCTTCCAGGAAGTCCACAGGCACCTACGTCGACGAGGTTCCCCCGCCTGGGGCGAACATCGTCAGTGGCATGTGGATTTTCAGGGTGAAGCGGCCGCCGGGTTCTCCGCCTGTCTTCAAGGCGCGTTACGTTGCACGAGGCTTCAGTCAGCGACAGGGAGTTGACTTCTTCCAAACCTTCTCCCCTACCCCGAAGATGACCACTCTTTGGGTGCTCCTGCACGTCGCCGCTCAGCGTGACTACGAGCTACACTCTCTTGACTTCAGCACAGCCTTCCTACAGGGCAGCCTGCACGAGGAGATCTGGCTGCGCCGCCCACCTGGCTTCACTGGGTTGTTTCTTGGTGGTACCCAGTGGAGCCTCCGGCGGCCAGTCTACGGTCTCCGCCAGGCACCCCGTGAGTAGCACGACACACTAAGGACGACTCTTGCTGCTCTTGGTTTTGCTCCTTCCACTGCTGACCCGTCGCTGTTTCTACGCAGCGACACCACTCAGCCGCCGTTCTATGTTCTCGTGTACGTAGACGACTTAGTCTTTGCTACTGCTGACACTGAGGCACTCACCCACGTGAAGTCCGAGCTGCAGAAGAGACACACTTGCACAGACCTGGGTGAGCTGACAAGCTATCTTGGCTTGCGGATCACCCGGGACAGAGCACAGCGCACCATTACCTTGACTCAGTCACACATGGTGCAGCAGGTCCTTCAGCGCTTCGGCTTCACGTACTCCTCGCCACAGTCCACTCCTCTGCCTATCGGTCACTCGCTCTCAGCTCCACCTTCGGACGAGTCCGTAGAGCCGAGTGGCCCGTATCCAAAGCTTGTGGGCTGCCTCATGTACCTGATGACCTGCACTCGACCTGACCTTGCCTACCCACTTAGTATTCTAGCATGCTATGTCGTTCCTAGCAGACACAGGAAGGAGCACATGGATGCAGCTAAGAGGGTGTTGCGCTACTTGTGCAGTACGTCGGGCATGGGGCTCGTGCTTGGAGGACGGGCTCGAGTTGTCCCCACTGGTCACGCAGACGCTTCCTGGGTTGACGACTTGGCTACGCAGCGGTCGTCACAGGGTTACACCTTCAGCCTTGGCTCCGGCTCTGTCTCTTGGCGGTCAACCCGCTCGTCTTCTGTTCTCAGCTCCAGTTGTGAGGCTGAGATCTACGCTGGGGCCATGGCTGCACAGGAGTTACGCTGGCTTACCTACCTGCTGACCGACTTGGGAGAGGTGCCTTGTTCTCCTCCAGTTCTGTACGTCGACAACAAGGCCATGCTTGCCTTGTGTCAGGAGCACAGACTGGAGCACAGAACGAAGCACATTGCTCTGCGCTACTTCCTTGCTCGAGAGTTGCAGCAGCGTGATCAGCTTCGTCTTGCTTACGTGGCCACTCAGGCCAACACTGCTGATATCTTTACCAAGGCACTTCAGCCTTGTGATCATCAGCGCCTTTGTACTATGCTAGGACTTGTGCCTACTTGGCCTCACTTGCTCACTTCTTGACTTCACTTTTACTGTGATCTCTATACATATACCTGCATGCTTACACTTGCTAGGTTGTGTTCACCGTATTGCTTGTTCTCCTTTATATAACTCTTCATGTGAACTGGCCTTGTGGCCATTTGCTTGTGCTCAGACTGCGTGGTGACGTCGTGATCCACCCTGAGCTTGCTTTGCCTTTCTTGACCGGTCTTGTGACCTCTTGTTCTCCCCCACTTTGCCTAAGGGGGTGTGTCAAACATATATGCTATAGTCTGTCTAGGCTGTAGTGGGGTAGTTCATATAGGGTACAACACTTTTAGGTTTCCTACTTGTACCCACCTGCTTGCTAGTTCAGTCATTCCTTCCTTCAATATTCTAACATTTACGGTTATAATAAGCGCGGAGAAATAAGGGGTGCACCTCAGATCGAGTAAAATCAGGGGTGTGCCATATTGACTTATATGAATCTTGATTTGTTCACACTAAATTATAGCACCCGATTTTCTGAGAAAAATGCGATTCCTGTAACGAATTTCACCTTAGTATATGTGGATTTCCATTTTGTCCCCCACTTCCGTCTCGCGCGACTTACGATACTATACCATTTTCGCTCCGTACACCTAATGCGCGTTTGAGTCCCCCATACTCCCCTTGTGAAGAGGGTCTATAAGCGATTCTGTCATTTCGCGCTGTCTCGCGCACTTCGCCAGGGTCAGTGTGGGCGTTTAAGTGGAACATGTAACACCCCATTTAAGTTAAACCACATCATTGCAGGGTGGTTGTTGTTGTTTGTTATGTGTTGCGCTTGTTACCACATTAGTTACCCATTTCTGTAGCATCCGATTACATGAGCACTCACAAACAAGCAACACGCTCAGTTCAGCCAACCGCAGCCTTACAGCTGCGCACTCGAAACTACACACGGGGCTACGGAGTGCACAATTGTGCACAAGATGTGCACATTGGTGCACAGAAGAGATTCGTTCTCCTCTAAGGGGCGAACAAACCCATACACAGAGTCATCCACTCAGCTGCATCAATGTAGCCGTTCATGACGGCACTCACGCCAGAGTCGATCAGCTGCTGGCGGGTGGGAGCAGGCGCGTACATCCACGCCGGCAGAACATGCCCGCGGCGACGGGGGGTGGTAGCCGCTGTGGTGGCGGCAGGTGCCTGCGCTGGAGCGGCTGCAGGGGACGCAGCAGGCTGGGGAGCGGGCGGCGGCGTCGTGATTAGGTTCATCGCGGGGCTTGCGCGCTCCATGCGGTCAACGATGATGGGGTTCCGAATTTCAAAAAGCGCGCAAAGGTTGCACGGCGTGATGCCTGTGGCCTGTGCGTAGCCAATAAGCATCTCGCTCGCCGCCCGCGCATAGCGTCGCGCCTCGTGGCTCTCTGGATTGTCGACGTCGTACACGGTCTGCATGTCAGTCAGCGCCTCCCACGACGCGTCCGAATACCCCACCGCGGGCTCAAGGGCGAGCAGGTCCTCGACCGGCTCAGCGCACGTTGGCTGGGCGTCGTCGATGGCGACGAAAGTGGCGGTCGGCATGGCGTTAGGCCCAAGGCCGAGGCGTGCGATCATCAAGCCGACATCCCCGATGTCCTCGTCAAGGTCGATGGGGAGAGCGGCGTTAACGCTGTTACCAACTGCAGCAAGGCCGTCCAGGCTGACGTGCGCCAGATCCATGGCCCACGAGCGCGGCATGCACCCCGTGCGCCACCAGCAACGCTGGATCGTGCACATGGGGATATTCATCCACGCTTCACTGAGCCAGGCGATGACGTCGCGCATATTCGGCCGGTAGCGCGCCATGGCGGTCGTGGCGTCCGCATCCTGCCACAGAGCCGTGACCGCAGCGAGCCAGAACTGGCGGTAGCGCGCCTTCATCGTTGCGATCAGACCAGGCCTGGAGAAGCAAGGGCATTTGGCCTTAATGCTCTTAACATTCCGGGTTACGCTTGGAGCATCTCAGCCTTTTAAAGTTCTAGATCGGAATGTCACCCGTGACAGGTTAAGGGCCTCATTTGGGCCTTGCCCTGAATCCAAGTTTTGGTTTCTGTTTGGAGCACCCCCCCCCCCCCCCCCCCAAAAAAAAAATAATTCCCGCCGCTGCCCCCCCCCACCCCCTCCATGACTAGCCTACGATCCCCTTCCCTCCTCCCAAAGTTTTTGCCTAATATGTTTTTTCCTAGGATGTGGCGGTTGAGTTTGTTGAGGAGCACTGAGTATGCACCTTCCTTCTGCTAAGTAAATGGTACATCCTCCTTTGGACATTAGGGAAAAGTGCACTTTCCTTAGAAGCCCGGATTTTGAGTATTGAATTCTGACTGCGCCCATGAAAATCAGGGCCAGAATTTGAGCACCTCGGGACTCAAAGTACTGGTCCCAGGGACTTCGACAGCCCTGGATCAGACCCTGATCGAGCGGCTGCGTGAAGGCGGTAGTGTTAGGCGCCAGGAAGACGAGCCTGGTGTTACCGGTACCGAGGGTGCGAGTCCGGAAGCCGAAAAGGTCTTCCGACGTGGCGTCGTCGCTCCGGATGACGTGGCTAGCATTGTCCAAAAGGATGACAATCTGGCGGTCCTCTGCCACCATGGCGGCGTTGAGCTGCCCAATAAAGTGTGTGAATAGCTGCAAGGTGAAGAGAACTGACGGAAAAGGAAAACCGCGTTAGTATCATGATATCCGAATCATATGGGCCATGCAAAAAAAAACAAGCCTTAAAAAAAAAAAGGACGGTGAGGATAACCGGGAATGCTTACCAGCGCCGTCATCCAGCCTTTAGCATTGTGACGCCAATAGCACAGCTCCTCAGGGTCGTAATCGGGCAGAAAGTCACGCGGCCGCTTAGCCTTGTGGATGACCAACGGACGGAATGTGTGGCTACCGTCCGCATTCACGAGCAACCCGACGGTGAGGCACTCCTTCGCCAACTTGCGCCCCGCCACGCGCGCAGCTCCGTAGGTCTTGCGAGGTAAGACCGACAGATACAAGGCGGTCTCGTCGAAATTATACACATCGCGCGGACGGACGGAGAGGTACATCAAGAGTTGCGGGAGCTGCTCCTGTTTGTTACTCGCACAGGTAACAAACACCATAGCGGGTGACGTGTGCATAACTGCACTCAGTGGACATTCTTGGGCTTATATCCAGCCTCGGCAATGTACACGTGGCGAAGCTGGGGCGAGGTGTGTGCGTTTGGTGCACGATGAGCCGCATCGACGTGGCGTACAGTCATGGGCGAAATTGTGCGCGACGTTAAAACCCCGTCCGCCACTTTTTTCGCGAAGCCTGTCCCTGGCCTAAAAACAGGAATACCCTGGGGCAACGTCTCTTGTCACTATGCACATGTGTAGTTTTTGTCAAGTGGCCACCCACACACAAGTGGCACATGTGCTTATAAGCAGGGTGCAACTGCCTGGGAAAAAAAACACGTGGGCAGACTTTCAATTAGGGGCAGGTCAATTTCGCGCGCAGGGGTTGGGCATCGTGTGTAACTAGAGAATGTGCTTTCACGGGCAAATTGTTTGTGTCTGCTGGCAGCAAATCATTCTGACGACTGCTGGCAGGGATGCTGACAACTGCTCTCAGCAACCACTGTCAGGAAGACATCTGTACTCCAATAATCTCAATGGCCAGAGCCAGCAGAACTCTTTGAAAAATGCAGATGCACATCACCAGGTTTCAGCGGCGTGTGTTTCACTACGATTCTAATCGGTCCAAGTAGATCGACTTGGAAAACTGAACGGCTGAACGGGTCGGTGATAGCAAGATCTGAAAAAACCTCGAGATCTCACCCTGACTTCCCTTGCATTTCACAGATGTACGGAAGCCATCGGTTTCGCCTCTCAGCATTGAAACTAGCGTAGTTTTCAGAAACTCGTTTTTCGCCAGCATCCGCTGGTAGCATTACCACACCCATTCGCGTTTCCACGTATCCCAGCCTCCTTCGTCTGAACTCATCGTTATTACGTTTGTGCATCACATGCTGTGGTCGTAGCCGTCCCGCTTCATAGATAAGCAGCGTACCCAATCAAGTCAGTGAGATCGTGTTGGCCCGAATAGTTATCGGCAAACGCGACCGAGCGGCGCTAGCTCAAATAACGCTATTCGCGTCGAGGCTCGATCGTCGGGGATCGCATTGCGTCGAGCGTTAAGCGCCGAGCGCCGAGCGTTAAGCGGCTTAGGATTTTAAGTTATCCGACATTGACGTGTCATCAAGGATTCATTCAATCAGTCCGATTGATCGTAACTAGTCGTCGGAATGGCGAATTGGGCGCTCTCTGGTTGCTGTAACAATCAGCAGACCCTCTTCCTCTCCTGCTCCGGTGTCTACGCGCTCATCATCCTCGCTGTAAGGACAGTCGACGCGCCACATAACAAGCAGCTGCGCGACTCCTTGGTCACTCGTGCCATGACTGACACGTGCACTGACTGGCCGCACATCCCTCCCTGCTCCCCATCCTCCCTGCCTGCCCTCTATATCTCCACCAGCTATGGCGCACCATCGTGCTGATGCCCTTCAAGCTCATCTCCGTGTACCTGCACGAGATGGGAGACTCAATGCTACCCTCCCTCTTGTTCACGCACTGACTGCTCACTCCTCCCTGCTCCCCAACCCTGCCTGCCTTCTCTACCCCCCTCCCCCTCTCCGCCGTGCCTGCCTTCCCTCTCCAGCTATGGCGCACCATCGTGCTGATGCCCTTCAAGCTCATCTCCGTGTACCTTCACGAGATATGGCACTCGATGCTACCCTTCCTCGTGCACTGACTGGATGCACATCCCTTCCTGCTCCCCATCCCCCTGCCTGCCCTCTTTACCACCCCCCCGCCTCTCCTCTGTCTGCCTTCCCCTCTCCAGCTATGGCGCACCATCGTGCTGATGCCCTTCAAGCTCATTTCCGTGTATCTGCACGAGATAGGCCATGCCTCGGCGTGCGTCATGACCGGCGGCAAGGTGCGTGATGATGGGAAGGAAGGAAGGTGCGTGATGATGGCAGGGAAGGAAGGTGCGTGATGATGGGAGGAAGGTGCGTGATGATGGCAGGGAAGGAAGGTGCGTGATGATGGGAGGAAGGTGCATGATGATGGGAGGGAAGGAAGGTGCGTGATGATGGGAGGAAGGTGCGTGATGATGGGAGGGGAGGAAGGTGCGTGATGATGGGAGGGGAGGAAGGTGCGTGATAATAGGAGGAAGGTGCGTGATGATGGGAGAGAAGGAAGGTGTGTGATGATGGGAGGAAGGTCCGTGATGATGGGAGGAAGGTGCGTGATAATGGGAGGAAGGTGTGTGTGAACAGGTCTCAGGTATGAGCCGGGAAAAGATTCCCACGTACATTCCCAAGGTGAGCCGGGTGACATTCCCAAGGTGAGCCGGGTCAACGTGCAGGGTGTCAAGCTGCCCTAAAGTGGGCTGTGTATGATGTAATACAATTTTTGCTGTATGCTGTGGTATGCTGTGCTGTGCTGTGGTATGCTGTGGTATACAAATCATACTGTGTGATCGCTATGACACAGGTGGAAGGTATGGACGTGCCCAAGAATGAGGCCCATAGAGGTAGATTCGTTATAACGCAAAAAGAGCCATGCTGTGCTTACGCCCTATGATGGAGATGGAAGGCATAGAGGTGCACATGGACGAGGCTTTAGAAGCAGATTCACTATAGAGCCTAACAAATCACACTGTACTATAATGTGTGTGAACGACTTAGGTGGAGGGCATAGAGGTGCACATGGACGAGCATTACCGGGGCAAGTGTCTTACAACTAAATCTTGCCGCATGCACGCATGCTGTATCATACTGTATGTGTGAACGCCCTATGGTGCAGGTGGAGGGCATAGAGGTGTACATGGACGAGCCCCTCATGAGGCAAATGCGTTATAATGCATAACGAATCACACTGTATCATACTGTATGTGTGCGAACACCCAATGGCGCAGGTGGAGGGCATAGAGGTACACATGGACGAAGCCTTCAGATTCAAATGCTGTTTCTTACATAACAAATCACGCTCTGTATCGTGCTGTGTTTGTGTGTACGCCCTGTGGTGCAGGTGGAGGGCATAGAGGTGCACATGGACGAGGGGGGGGTCACTCGCACTCGGGGCGGATGGCAGTGGTGCATTCTGCCTGCCGGATGTGAGTCACCAGTCACGGTTCACGAGTTACGAGTCACGAGCTACGAGTCAGAAGCTACGAGTCACAAGTTGCGAGTCTTTTTCTAAAACTCGAGGTAGCTACCTGTTGCCTATCTTGCCCGTTGCCTGCTTCCCCCCCACTGTTTCTTCTGACACTCGTGCTGCTGGGGGTCATGCGGTTAGTCCCCTGTGTTGCTGTCATGCACACCGTATGATCCTTCCGTTCGTTTTCCTCGTGGATCAACCTATGCCAGCCAGATTATCCACTAGTATTCTCAGAAGCGACTCATGCATCATCCATGCCAACCATCCACCCTTTCCATCAACGGACCTGGATCTACCTTCTTGACTTTTGAGTCGACTCAAAAGCCACCCTCCCCGTTGATGGACTTGGGGACCCCCATCTTGGGCATGATGCGCCGATTGAGTGCACTCTCACTGTCTCTTAAATCTACACGCATGCATACACGTTTTCACACGCATGCATACACGTTTTCACACGCATGCATACACGTTTTCACACGCATGCATACACGTTTTCACACACATGCATACACGTTTTCACACACATGCATACACGTTTTCACACACATGCATACACGTTTTCACACACATGCATCTGACTGCATTGTGGTGCCTGCATCACCCCACACTCAACCTGACCTGGGGTCGTCCTTCTTGGGCATGGTGCTGGTGCTGTGCGCCACATAAACGCACACAAGCGTGCTTCACTTCACTCCACACCTAACCAGACCTGGGCTCGTCCTTATGGGGCATGATGCTCGTGCTGTGCTCCACTCTATGCATGCTGTCTCTCATCATACCATCCGCGCACACACATGTCTGCCTCACCCCAACCCACTTTCACCAGACTTGGGCTCATCCTTCTGGGGCATGGTGCTGGTGCTGTGCGCCACCAACAAGTGGACCACCCTCGTCATCGCTGTCATTCTCTGCATCACTCTCTTCATCACCCTCTTCCTCGCCAAGAACGTGAGCAGCGAAACTTGTGTGTGTGTGTGTGTGTGTGTGTGTGTGTGCGTGCGTGCGTGCGTGCGTGCGTGCGTGCGTGCGTGCGTGCGTGCGTGCGTGCGTGCGTGCGTGTGTGTGTGTGTGTGTGTGTGCACACGTATTTGAGGGTCTCCACCACTCTTGTCATCGCCGTCATTCTCTGCATTACGCTCTTCCTTGCCAAAAACTCGAGAGTACCATACAGCTTGCAGCCCTATACTGCGGCTGAGGTAACCTTTATGCACTCATTACAAGTAGACCACGCTCGTCATCGCTGGCATACTCTTCATCACCCTCTTCCTCGCCAAGAACGTGAGCAGCACATCTTGTGTGTAGTGCATTTATCTGGAAGGTACATCGCTGTCACACTCTTCCTCACGCTCTTCGACACCCTTTTCTCGCCAAGAATGTGAGCAACACATCTTCTGTGCGCATGCTTGAAGGTCTCCTTGGGTATGCATCATAGTTTTGAGACGTCTCAAAAATGCATCATCCTCTGCATCACCCTCTTCCTCGCCAAGAACGTGAGATTCGCACTTATCTGGAAGTCACATCGCGTCTGCATTGCACCACTCTTTGCACCACTCTTTGCACCACCCTCTTCATCACACTCTTCCTCGCCAAGTGCCTGAGCAGCAAACCTCTGTGCTGCACTTATCTGGAAGTTGCATCACTACATGCTGCTGCTCTGCATTATCCTCTTCATCACCCTCTTCATCACCCTCTTCATCACCCTCTTCATCACCCTCTTCATCACCCTCTTCATCACCCTCTTCATCACCCTCTTCATCACCCTCTTCATCACCCTCTTCATCACCCTCTTCATCACCCTCTTCATCACCCTCTTCCCCGCCAGAACATAAGAGTAGCATGCAGCTTGCAGCCCCATACCACACTGACATAACTCTTATGCACTTAAAAGGCCGCTCCTGCCATGCATCCCTCCCTCTGCTCCACTTTTTTCACAGAACACACTACGGTTCCTGTGTGTGGGCTTCCTGCTCCTCTTCGGCCTCTTCTTCTTTCTCGAATATGGAATTACCCAATCGGTGCACCCGCTTAACCTCGCCATCCTATTTATCGGTACGCCCTTTCTCTATACGATGCAAACTGCGCTCTGCTTTTCCTATCTATGCCCTTCTTTCTCCAAAATCCATCATTCAATTTGTCCTGCTCTCAATTCTTTCATCTTGTTTGTGGTATAGCCTTTTACCCGCCCTCCTCCTTTACTAGTGACTAACTCTACTTCACCCGCCCTCCTCCTGTGCAAAACTCCTTTGTCTGTTTCATTGCTGCGCAGGCATCATGAACTGCCTCTTCTCTATATATGGTATGTCCGGCCAGTCCACCCCACACGTCTGCACATATAAAGGAAACCTGATATTTCCCCGACAAAACCTGAGAATTGTATAAAGGAACCTCCCGCAGGCCTCGCAGGCATCATGAACTGCCTCTTTTCTATTTACGGTACGTCTCTGCAGTCCAAACGTCTGTCTACGCATCGTTTCTTGGAAATTCTTAACAGAAACAATAACTGAGAATGATAGCACATACATTATGTGTATATGTAAACACATACATACATGTGCCACAGAGAACCTGATAGTTATCAAACAAATTCTAGAAATCCTGTGTAGAAAATATGAACCTTGGGATTTTTCAAGTAAACGCTGCAGGCATAATGAACCGCTTTCTCTACACTCATTGTGTGTCCGTGCTACCCAAACGACCACACACCGTGCGCCAACAGTCCCCATTATTACTCTCCCCCCCCCCCCCCCCCCCTTCCCTCCCTTTTCCTTGTGCACACCGTGCACCAACAGTCCCCATTATTACTCTCCCCCCCACCCCCCCCCCCCCCTCCCTCCCTTTTCCTTGTGCACACCGTGCACTAACACTTCTTCAAATGCATGACAGTGATTGCCTGCACTTGTTCCCACTACCCATCCTCCATTGTGAATCCCAGTTGATCGCATCACCCGGCAATGCCCAGTTGTCCATTCCCCCGCCCCGTTCCCTGTGTACCTATGCCCGTTCTAATCCCCCTCGCCCGGCGCTCCACCCCTCCCTTCTCCTCTCTCACTCCTCCTCCTCCTCCCCCTCACCTGCCGCTTCCCCTGTTTGCCTATGCCCATTTCGAACCCCCTTGTCCCCTCCATGCATCAGACATCTACGACAATCTCATCTCCCGTAGAGTCAACTCCAGCGCCTTCTCTTTCCTGCCTGTGCCTGATGCCAAGCTGTCCATTCCCCGGCCCCTTCCTCTGTCGGCCTATGCCCATGTTTCCCCATGCCCTCCCCATGCATCAGACATCTATGACAATCTCATCTCCCAAAGAGTTAACTCATAGCTCCCCCCAATCCTCCCTCTCCTCCGCCCATTTCCCCTTCTCCCAACAACCTCCCATCTCCCCTTCCCTTGCTCCCCCCATGCATCAGACATCTATGACGATCTTATCTCCCGGAGAGTCAACTCCAGCGATGCCGAGGTCTTTGCCAAGACGTGCCCCTGCCCCTTTAACGGGGTGTGCTGGGGGGTCATCTGGTGAGTCCCGGTTCGTTATGAGTGATGAGTGCTGACGACTGTGGGAGTGCTGACGACTGTGGGAGTGCTGACGACTGTGGGAGTGCTGACGACTGTGGTAGTGCTGACGACTGTGGGAGTGCTGAGGACTGTGGGTGTGCTGAGGACTGTGGGAGTGCTTACGACTGGGAGTGCTGACGACTGTGGGAGTGCTGACGACTGTGGGAGTGCTGACGACTGTGGGAGTGCTGACGACTGTGGGAGTGCTGACGACTGTGGGAGTGCTGACGACTGTGGGAGTGCTGACGACTGTGGGAGTGCTGACGACTGTGGGAGTGCAGACGACTGTGGGAGTGCTGACGACTGTGGGAGTGCTGACGACTGTGGGAGTGCAGACGAATGTGGGAGTGCTGACGACTGTGGGAGTGCTGACGACTGTGGGAGTGCTGACGACTGTGGGAGTGCTGACGACTGTGGGAGTGCTGACAACTGTGGCGCGCCATGCCAGGACATACTGAGTGGTGCGCTTGTGTGGTAGGGTGATGCCAAGGTGTTTGCCAAGACGTGCCCGTGCCCCTTCAATGGCGTGTGCTGCTACGTTGGCAGATACGCCTTGGGCAGGGTTGCGTACCACGTATATACGCTTGCGTATATACGTGATACGCTAATACGCTCGTATTTCTTGGAAATACGCCCGGGCAGCCCGCCGAAAAAAAAAATCGAAATTGAAAATTTTCGCGAATGTTTTGCGACTTCGCGATTTGTTACCGCAAAGTCGCACATCGCCCAACCCACTTCTGAAATTCAAATTTTGAGCTCCAAACCTCCCACCACCCCAACCACACACCACCCCACCAAACCTCTCATCTCCAACCATCCCTCTCAAATGTTGTTCAGCAACTCGTCTGCTCATACACTGAATGACGAGTTCCTTTCTGTCATTCAGTTTCCGTAGTCGTTTTCATTCCCATAGCTCTCTTCTCCCGTTTTTCCTCATGGCGTCTAACTCCACCCCTCCTACTGCGACGAGCTATGTTGCCTCTGTTCACGCGTCCAATAGCGAAATCAATACGGAATTTTCAGGAACGATGTGGAGTGCACGCGAGTGTTCAAGGCCTACATGGATATTTATGAAATTAAATTATGACATGTGTGTTTGGGAAACATAACCCCCCCCCCCTTGAACAGGTTTTTTTTAGCCCTGCCCGGGAAAAAAGTTTTACCTGCCCGCCCAGCGTATTTTTACGTATCACGAGTACGCCACCCCTAGCGTACCGCGTATATACCCAGCGTATAATACGCTAGCGTATTATACGCGATACTCGTATCTGCCAACGTAGGTGTGCTGGGGGTTCATCTGGTGAGCGCCAGTTCGTTTTGAGAGATGAGTGCTGATGACCGCGCCACACCATGCCAGGACATACTGAGTCGTGCGCTTGTGCGGTTGTAAGAGTGAGGCTGAGGTGTTTGCCAAGACTTGCTGGTGCCGCTTCAACAGAGTGTGCTGGGGGGTCATCTGGTGAGCGCCATGTCATATTTTAGGTGCCTCAACAGGAGTCACGTCAACAGCGCTGGGGGGTCATCTGGTGAGCGCCATGTCATATTTTAGGCGCCTCAACAGGAGTCACGTCAACAGCGCTGGGGGGTCATCTGGTGAGCGCCATGCCATTATTTTAGGCTACTTCTGAGGTGCCTCAGAGCTCATTCCTTAGGCGCCTAAAAAGTAGTCACTTCAACCACATGTGTTGGGGGTTCATTTCGAATGATCCGATTGCGCTTGTATGGATGACATGAGTGCTGGCTTCTGTGCCATTGGCCTTCCATGAGTGTTTCTGGAGGAGTGAGTTGGTGAGGGTATGTAGGGGTGGAGATTGCAAGGGGCACGCCTAGGGTGAGTGAGATGATGTGCTCGAGTGTTGTGTAGTGTGAGCTGGGTGTGAGACAGTAAGTGGGATTAGTGCTCCACGTGATATGGAGGGAATGGTAAGAGTTGTGTGGAAGGAGGCCACTGGATGTGCTATTTGTGTTGTTTTGTAGTTACTCCAGCTCCTTGGATACGACTTGCTTTCCTTTCTTTTCCTTCACGTGCATCTGTCCTGCAGGGGTGTCATATCGCTGTTTCTAGCTGGTGGCGCGGTCTACCTGGGCCTCGTGATTCTCGCATGACCTTTGAGACATCTCAAACAACGTATAGATTGCCAATATTTGTTGGGTGCTAGATTTCCTTGAGTTGTATGATTCATCCTACCGTATGAAGTTACTGTTTATAGTTCCGAGCTGTGTGAAAATAGCTTGATCAATCAGAGTTGTATCGAGAGAACTGTGCAGGAATGAGTAGAAAACAGGGCAGTACAGGTTTGTATAGGCTAACCCTAATTGGGGTTGTACCCCATACTGAGTAACCCACTATAGCCTACAAGTAGAATTGTATTTTGACACACCCCCGTAGGCTAAGTGGGGGACAACAAGACGGTCACAAGACCAGTCGAGCAAGACAACAGAGCAAAGCAAAGCAAAGCTCAGGGTGGATCTCAAGGACACCACACAATCCGAGCACAAGCAAGCGGCCACAAGGCCAGTTCACATGCAGAGTTATAATAGCAAGACAGTACATTGATCACAACCTAGCAAGAGTAAACAAGCATGTATAAAGATATATATCAGTGTACAACAAGAGCAAGTCAAGCAACCAGCAGGTGAGGCAGAGTGGGCACAAGCCCAAGAGCAGTGCAGAAACGCTGATGATCACTAGACCCAAGGGCCTTGGTGAACACATCAGCAGTGTTGGCCCGCGAGGCCACGTACGAAAGGCGGAGCTGACAACGCTGCTGCAGCTCACGCGCAAGGAAGTAGCGAAGAGCAATGTGCTTCGATCTGTGCTCCAGTCTCTGCTCGTGACACAAGGCAAGCATTGCCTTGTTGTCAACGTATAGAACTGGAGGAGAACGAGGCCGCTCCCCCAAGTCGGTCAGCAGGTAGGTCAGCCAGCGGAGCTCCTGTGCAGCCATGGCCCCAGCGTAGATCTCGGCCTCACAGCTGGAACTAAGCACAGAAGAAGAACGAGTGGACCTCTACGAGACAGAACCAGAGCCAAGTCTGAAGGTGTAACCCTGTGACGAACGCTGAGTCGCCTGGTCGTCGGCCCAATAAGTGTCGGAGTGTCCGGTGAGTACCACTGAACCCTGTCCTCCAAGCACTAGCCCCATGCCCGATGACCTGCACAAGTAACGCAGTACCCTCTTCGCATCATCCCAGTGCACCTTTCGGTGTCTACCAGGAGCCACGTAGCGAGCCAGGAGGCTGAGAGGGTATGCGAGGTCAGGTCGTGTGCACGTCATCAGGTACATGAGGCAACCCACAAGCTCTGGGTACGGACCACTCGGCTCTACGGACTCGTCCGAAGGTGGAGCTGAGAGCGAGTGGCCGGTAGACAGAGGAGTGGGCTGTGGCGAGGAGAACTGGAAGGGGAAGCACTGAAGGACCTGGTGCACCATGTGTGACTGAGTCAGTGTGATGGTGCGCCGTGCTCTGTCCCGGGTGATTTGCAAGCCAAGATAGCTACGCAGCTCACCCAGGTCAGTGCAGGTGTGTCTCTCCTGCAGCTCCGCCTTCACTAGGGCTAGCGCCTCAGTGTCAGCAGTAGCAAAAACCAATTCGTCGACGTACACTAGAACGTAGAACGGCTGCAGGGTAGTGTCGGTGCGTAGAAACAGCGACGGGTCAGCAGAGGAAGGAGCAAACCCAAGAGCCGCAAGTGTAGTCCTCTGTGTGCCACACTCGGGGCGCCTGGCGGAGACCGTAGACTGGCCGCCGGAGGCTCCACTGGGTACCCGCACGAAACGACCCAGTGAAGCCGGGTGGGCGGCGCAGCTAGATCTCCTCGTGAAGGCTGCCCTGCAAGAAAGTTGTGGAGAAGTCGAGGGAGTGCAGCTCGTAGTCACGCTGTGCTGCAACGTGCAGCAGCACCCGAAGATTAGTCATCTCCGAGGTGGGGGAGAAGGTCTGGAAGAAGTCGACCCCCTGTCGCTGACTGAAGCCTCGAGCAACTTAACGCGCCTTGAAGGTAGGCGGAGAACTTGGCGGCCGCTTCACTCTGAAAATCCACATGCCATCGACTATGTTCGCCCCAGGAGGAGGAACCTCGTCGACGTAGGTGCCTGTGGACTTCTAGGAAGCCATCTCTGCGTCCATGGCTGTCTGCCACTGAGAGGAGTACTCACCCGCGATCGCCTCAGCGTAAGAGCGCAAGGTAGGGATGTCAAGTGCATCCGGGTCTCCCTCAGGGCAAAGCAGCATGGATGCAAAACGAGGTAAAGTGGCCGCAAGACACTCAAGCTCAAATTGTCTGTCGGCAAGTACGTCACTACCAAGGGTGTGCTCACCCCCGACGGATGGAGGACAGACAGACTCAGACTCAGTGACAAGACTCGTGACGTAGTCGAGATGACTCCTAGCTGCAAAGTCGACTAGCTCAGTGACTAGGGCAAACGCTGCAGTAGACTCAAGATCAGGGTCAGTGACGACAGTAGCAAAGAGATGAGTGACAGTAGGACTGGCAGCACGAGCAAGGTCAGACTCAGGGTCAGGAACGTGCGGAAGAGAGGACGCGGGAGGCTTAGGCAGGACAACACGCTGTGGAACAGAGGAAGGACGAAGTGCCATACCGTGAGTGCCTGGGACAGGAGGAGGACGAGGACGAGCGACACGACGAGCACGAACAGGTGTGGAAGCGCGGGTCTCAGGCTCACGACGCTCAGTCAGGGACTCAGTCACCTCAGTGCGAGGAGCAGGCACAGGCAGTGGGGAGCCAGGCAGTAGCTGTGGTTGAGACTGGTCTGTCGGTGGACACAGGAGGGGTAGAGGGAGGCCAGTGGAAGACGGAGACTAAGAACCTGGCGAAGGACCGAGTCAGGCGGCGGCAGGGACGACTGCGGCTGCGGGTAGAAAAACAGTCTGCGCAGGGCAGTACCAGCAGCTCCAGCTCCTCCAGCACCAGCAGCACCAGCACCAGCAGCTCCAGCAGCACCCTCAGCACCTCCAGCACGAGCAGCACCACTAGCTCCGGCAGCGCGAGGACCTCTAGCACCAGTAGTACCTCCAGCACCTCCAGTGCCAGCAACTCCAGTAGCACCTCCAGCACCTCCAGCACCAGCAGTACCACCTGCTCCGGCAGCTCAAGCACCAGCAGCACCTCCTGTACCTCCACTACCAGCAGCTCCAGTAGGACCTCCAGCTCGAACAGCACCACCAGCTCCGGCAGCTCCAGCACCTCCAGTACGAGCACCTCCAGGACCAGCACCTCCAGTACCTCCAGCACTAGCAGCACCTCTAGCACCAGCAGTACCTCTAGTACCTCCAGCACCAGCAGTACCTCCAGGACTAGCAGCTCCAGCACCAGCAGGACCGTACCCTCCACCACCTGGACTGCCTCGCCGAACGATCCACGCACGAATCGCCTGCGGCGAGAGCGTCTCAAGTAGGTCAGGCTGCGGTGGCTGTCGAGCTCCAGGACCTCCAGCAGGGTCACCCACAGCTCCACCGCCACTAGGACTCGCAGGACCCCCAGAGTCAGCACCCCAAGAACCAGCACCCCCAGTCGTAGCACCCCCAGAAACAGCACCCCAAGAACCCTCACCCTCTGGCTCAGAACCCCCAGGCTCAGCACCAGCATTCTCAGCTCCAGAGTCCACAGCAGCAGGCTGCGGAGGCGGCGAAGACGTCCGAGGCGGAAACCAGGGGGGGTCTCCAGAGTGGCCGCCGTGTCGTCAGCGGCAGGGTCACCCCCCTCAGCTGGGCCAGAGGAGTCAGAAGAGGCCGCCAAAGGCTCAACCAAGGGGGGTGGATCTACCTGAGACACACCTGTGGGAGCAGGACCCTGTGGGGGAAGGGGGTCTACCGGGGGGGGGACTGGTACCAAGAAAAGAGGCGCTAGGGGGACCGGGTGGGATGCGTGCGGGTGGAGCCTGTAGTAACAGACAGACTCGTCAAAGGTGACGTCCTGGGAGGAGAAGACTCGACGCGAGCGCAGGTGGTAAAACTGCCACGGCGGGGCGTCGGTGGGGAAGCCAAGGAAGACGCAGTGGAGAGTGCGAGAGGAGAGCTTGCTCGCTTTGGCATCGCGAACAAGGGAGAGCGTGCCCCAGACCCGAAACACCGACGCATCGCCAACCTTCCCCGTCCACCGGAGTGTGGGCGAGGTCTCTGGCTCAGAGACACGGGGCCAGAGGTTGAGCTGATGCGCAGCGTATCGGACCGCAAACGGCCACAGAAAATGGGGAGCAGCCGCATGGATCATGGAGGTACGAGCAACCTCCATGATCAAGCCAATGCGACGCTCAGCAATCCCATTTTGCTGAGGAGAGACCGGAAGCGTGAATGACTGGCGGATGCCCTCGTCTCGACAGAACTCCGCAAGGAGGTCAGAAGAGAACTCACTGCCCCTGTCAGAGTGCAGACGCAGGACTCGCAAGTCCCGACTAAACCGATCGCGCAGCTGGCGACGAGTAGCACAGATCCAGGGGATCAAAACACTGCTGACGTCCGCCTTGCGACGCAAGGGGAAGACAGTGGTGTAGCGTGTATAGTCGTCAACAACCAGCAGGAAGTAGCGCTCCTGGTCCGTTCCACCGACGGGGGCTGGGTCCCAAACGTCCATGTGGAGAGTCTGCAGAGGAGCAGTGGTCGGAGGAAACTTGGAGGAGTGAGGAGCGGCGCGCTGCCGCCCCTCGACGCAAGGAAGGCACGGCGGGGCAGGCGAGCGTGGGAGGGAGGGCAGGGACCTGGGAAGGCTAGAGACAAGGAGATGGGAGTACATACCACGGAGACGCGGAAGGGAGGGGTGACTGAGGCGGTGGTGCCAGAGGAGAGTCTGGTGGGAGAGTACCCGACACGAGCAAGACGCTGCAAGCTGACCAGCCGCAGACTCCTGACTCGACGCAGCCACCTGACCTACCTCAGCCACCTGTGTAGACGTAGTGGTCAGTGTGTACAGACTAGACCCAGGCCGTCGAGTGAACGTAGCCAGGGGATGGCCAGTCCGGGAGCACGTACAGATCGCCACACGTTGCCCTCCATGAATAAAGGTATCAACCCAGACATCCTGAATGGCAGCGTTGCTCACCAAGTTCGTCGAGAACGTGGGGAGGTGGAGACCTGACAAAGAACCG